TCATTTAGACCCTGAATGTTGGTATTTAAAATTTTACCCTCACTGTTGGTGGTAACAAATTCTATACGCTGCCCCTGAGCATCCTCAATTTTAATAACTTTTGGAGCAGGCATTACTAAAGAATCTTCATTACTCCTAACTCGTGTCGAAGTCTCGAAGGGGTCTTCATTTACAAAGGTCTCGGGATCTTCTTGGTGAACTTTGAGTATATGAAATTGAAGACTTTGTACAGAATCGAAGTCTTCCTTGCATACCGCACAATCAGTGCGACTTTTCATTTTACGTCTTTGGGCAGGTGCTGAATAAGAATTATATTTGTGTTAAAATGATCATCATTTGGTATAGTATAGTTTTAGAGACTTACTTGTATGATTACCCATCTGCATGTGGTTATTAAACTCGAGTTCAGTTTTAAAGCCTTTCTTACATATTAAACATTTATTGGCCATTCGTGTACGTCCTTTACGCTTTGTTGTTGTATGTTCTTTCATATGTTTCTCTAATCTGAAGCAAATTTTGTATATTGTAGTCATCAGCATATAAAACAGTTAAATTTTACAAATAAACTTACTGCTTTTCGGTTCTATATTTCTCTGGACATTGATCACACTCATAAGGTCTTAAATGGACCTTGATGTGTGTACGTAGTTGTGTGCCTTGAATAAAACTTTTACCACATTCACTGCAAACATGTGGTCTTTCACCCGTATGGCGTTTCATATGACGATTCAATACCTCCTTGACAGCAAAGCATTGTTTGCACTGAAACAACATAAAATTAATACCTATCATCTTTTAAATATTATTATTTATAAAATACTTACCACTGAACAAGTATAAGGTTTTTCTCCGGTATGATAACGTCTATGCTTTTTCAAAGCTACCAATGAGGGAAACTTTTTCTCACATAAATCACAATCGAACGGTTTTTCGCCCGTATGGGTACGTGTGTGAATACTGAAAAGCCAACAAAAATTTATGAAGTTAACTTAAAAGGTTTTGCTAATATTAAGTCTTACTTTAAAGTAGATAAACTATAGAAACATTTTTTACATATCGGGCACATGTACTCTGATTTCTTATTAGACTGTGTGCCCAAATGCTGCTTTAGATGAGCCCTTAAATTGTCCAAACGATAGAAAGCCTTATTGCAAACTTTACAATGCATGGTGTCGTTCTCATTGGCCGAACAGGAGGAATACTTTTGATGACGACTCAAATGATAGGAACGTGTAAAGTCTTTGCCACAAATCTTGCAAGCAAATGGTTTGCCACGATTACGATGTTGCTCTTCGTGTAGTTTTAAAAGATTTGCACTGCGCAATTTAGCATTACAAATACTGCAGGGATGATCATCAAACTCTGAATGTGTGATAAATATATGACGTTCATAGCTCATTTGGGTTTTAAATGATTTAGGACAATCGGGACAATTGATGTGACCCAACTAAAATAAAGAAATAAATGAGTTTACTAACAAAAATAATATAAAAACTCAAAGAATCTTACATGAAAAGTATCATAGCTTTCGCCACAGCAAAAACAGACATCTTTATTTTCCATTATAATGGCATCTTTTTCGATTTTCTCCAAATTTTTCAACATTTCTGCTTTACGAATGTGATAACCACTATCAAAACGGCAATAATCAAGATGTTTTTTGAGACTCTGAAATATTCGAATAAAAACATGAATAACAAGTCCAATAACATTACATACAGGCCTATTCCCGGGGAGATTGTTCCCTCTCCTATACATAAAGCATGCAAAGGGGAATAAACTCCCGAAGAATTATTGTTCATAGTTGGCCTGATAATAAAACTGTATTTCTATAACCATACCTTAATTCGCCTAAAAGTCTTATAACATTTTCCACAAACATGTTCAACAATCTCTTGGGTTGATCCGGTAAATGTCATTTCATGTTCATCATCATCATCACTCAAATGAAGTTCTTCGGTTATTTCTCCACTCGGTTTTGTTACTAATTCATCATCATTACTCTCCGCCAATATAAAATCAATCGTTTCGCTTTCCTCCATGCCTGTATCAGTATTTTTCTCTCCCTTTACTGTTTTCATCACATAATGATCCATGTTCCTTTGCTTCATGGCTTTTTTTGGTTTGGCAATAGACAAGGTCATTTGTTTGGGTGGAGACAACGGCACAGATGTCATAACTGGTATTTTTAAAGGAACTACTGGAGTTATTTTTTCATCATTTAATATCTTAATACCCGAACTAGAACTTCTAGTGGTGGTGGACGCTTTCGGCTTTTCTTCTTTCGTACTCATGATCACGACTAAAATATATTGAAGGACAATTAAAAATGTTTTTAAAAAGGAAAGTCAACTTTTAGGCAAAATTTTAAATTAGTTTTTTCTTGAAAATGTTCTTCAAATTCCTAATTGTATAATAATGCGGGTCAAATACCAATATAAAGAACTACGCCTAAAAACACAAAGCGTAATAAATATTAATAAAATGGCGGCATCTACAAGTGCATTAAAATTTTCAATCAAAGTAAATTAATAAAGTAGCGACACGAGTTGTTGTACAACAAACGTCTACAAAAACCACAGGCAATTTGTTTTTGTTCGAAATACTCATTTGTCAAAATTTGTTTACAAAAATTAACCAATAATTAATGGAAAATATGGCATTATTGTTGTACTTTCCAAAAATATGTTGTTATTTATATTAAAAGTTACAGAGTTTTCTTTATTTTTTAAAAATTAGAACATTTTTAAAAATATTATACACTTTTTCACATTAAATACAACAAATTACTCAGAAATTTGTACAAAAGCAAGCGTTAAAATGAAAACAAATATGGCAACATAAACATTTTTGACAAGTAAGTCCACAAATAGCAAGTTTAAAAAAATAGTCAGCTGTTCAATTGAGTCTACTTTATAAATTTACTTTGTTTTCAATGAAATTTATAAATACAAAATGAGAGAAAATTTCTCTCTGTGACACTCAGGGTCTCTCGATTTCTATCTATGGGAGATAAAACCGTGAAAAACATGCAACAAGTTTTTTTTCTTAACCCACCTAAGAAAAAAATTAAATTCTGCTGCCGATCAGATTTTTCAATATACAAATTAAAATTTAATTTCTTATACAAATTGCATACTTTTAAAATTTACAAATATTTTAATAATTTAAGTTGCCTTTAATAATATCGAGTCAGTGAATATTTGCTTCGTTTATAGATTAGATAAAATTGTTTCTATTTTATTTTTGCAGAATAATTTTTTGTTCACAGTCCACACACAACACACGTCTGCTTACACATAAACGAGTGAAATTTTAATTTTGTGGGAAGATTTTGTTTCAGTTTTTACAGCCCTTTCATTTAAATGCACTTCTAGTAATTTTATTTTTTACTGAAGTTAATTAAATCTTTTATTTTGTTAAAAATAAATAAAGTTTATTACAAATTATCTTTGATCGATAGATTCCAGACTGATTTTTACCTAATTTTATGCTTCGAAATGTGGCAAAAATATTCTCTCTTCACATAGTTGCTTGAATAGTAGTAGATAATCAGTAATTGTACTTAAACGATCTTCATTGTAGATTTTTTTATTGTAATGACAAATTTAATTATATTAGCATGCAATTTTCCAGAAATTCATTAATTAGTTTTTATTTATAAAAAATATGTTTAGTTTTCTTAGACAAAAAAAAAAACTTTTCATACATATTACACTTTAGTACAATTTTAAACAACCATGTGTCATTTAATACAACCCTTATCGTTAAGTTTACACGTAATGTTTAAAATGTTATAACTAATTGATTTTCATTGTTTGTTGCATGTGCTATTAATGATAATTTACTTTTGTTTTTAATTATTAAAAAAGCACTAAGATAATTATTTATTTAGGCTTAAGTCGGTTTTAGCGGCATTTTTCAAATCACTTCGAAAATTTCACCACTCATAGAAAGTTCGATTGTGAGTGAAATGAAGTAAAAATTGTTTATAGGCCACGCCTACTTTAGGGTGGGCGGGCCTCTAAAGTTTAAATATTAATGGCCATATCTCGAAAAATAAACATTTGTTTGGTCCGATATATATATCAAATGAGAAGTATTTCAAAAACCTTTCCAACGAAATATAACATGATATACAAAAAAGGACCCATTATAGGTCAATTTTGGGAAGCATAATTTTTGACCCGAGTATTTGACGGGGATAAAGGTTAAAACCATAATACCAAGCTTTCATATAATCCCATGTATTTCTTACCACTGCTGGACAAAAGTCCATATAAGTTGGGGAACATTAATTTCCGAGTTATATAAAAAAGACTGAAATGGGTTAGAAAGGAAAATGAGAAATATTTTATTGCCATGGATTATGAATTTAATAACTGTGTAGCTTTCCACACCACCAATGAGGTACTACAGCGGGTACCGGCAGCGTTGTCAATTACTTTTAATGCCTGGCATCCCCAATAGGGCTAAACCATTTCACTTAATTTATTTCCACAAACAAATTTATAAACAATTAAATATTTACAAAAAATTTACAATTGTTATTGCATAAATGGCTGTTAGAAGACATGGTGGGTGATTGTTTTCGCAAAAAATTATGGAGATAGCATGATGCTAAAGTTATTATTTTAACTTTTTCCGGAGACAAATTAATAGTCGTATGAAATACTCTGAAACAATTAGCCATTATGCCGAATGTGTTTTCAATGACTACCCTGGATTTTCATAATCTTTTGTTGAATACAATTTCTTGGGAATCTGAAGTGTTGAATGGATAGGGTTTCATCAAATTTTCCCCAAGTGGAAAGGCACTGTCGCCTACAAACACATACGGAGCTTTTAGATCTGTATCTGGTAAATTGTCTGGCTCCGGAATTCCCAATTCATTTTTATTTAATTTAGAATAAAATTAGTTTTGCAGAGCGTCTCTGCATCTCCAGCTCTTCCATTTGTAACCACATCAACAAAAAGAAATTCGTAGTTGGCGTTCGCAATAGCCATTAAAGCAAGAGAGTAGGTATTTTTGTAATTTAGGTAAAAATCTTGGCTCTCCTTTGGTGTTCTTATACTTCCCATCGATTGAACCTATGCAATGGGGGAAGTTCCAACGTCTGTTAAATTTGTTGCATTCCTTTTTCCATTCCTTACTGGTTTCTGGCAACTGTAATAAATTATACTTTAAAATTATTTTTTATTAATAGTTGTTGGTTTTATTACCTTTATATATTCTTTTATTTTAAATTTTTACTCTTTATTTTGGGCAAAACTAATTTCAAAAGTTTTTATGATTTTTACCTAATTTTAATTTTTTTTTTGAAATTCTCTTTGAACATAGTTGCTTGAATAGTAGTAAAGTAATTGTACTAATTACTTTTATTTTTTATTACAATAAAAAATTTAACTATATTAGCATGCAATTGTCCAGAAATTAATTAATTAGCTTTTGTTTATAAAAAATATATTTAGTTTTTTTTAGATAAATAAAACTTCAAACATATTACACTTTAGTACAATTTTAAGCAACCGTGTGTCAATTAGTACAACACTTTAGAGTTTATGTTAATGAGATTAACAAATACCCATTTAGGGATACAAAATTTCCTTATAAAAAAGTGGGGATATATAGATGTATTTTGTTTTGTTGAATAATTGCTAAATACAAAATAAATAAATATTAAAAATTCATAGCAAAGCTTGAAATTGGTTAATAGTTAAAAATAATAATTTAAAAGATATAACAATTACTTACTTTGAAATTATGTTAAACTAAATAATTGGACCCCCGCTTGTACTAAATTTATTGAAACCTAGGTATCCCTGTAATGAAATACAACAATGTTTTTTGTTATACCCTACACCACTTTAGTGGGGAGGGTATATTGGATTTGTGCTGATGTTTGTAACATATAAAAATATTCGTCCTAGACCCACCTTAAAGTATACCAATCGGCTTAGAATCGTTTTCTGAGTCGATTAAGCTATGTCCGTCCGTCCGTCCGTCTGGCTGGCTGGCTGGCTGTTCATGTAAACCTTGTGCGCAAGGTACAGGTCGCAATTTTCAAGATAATTGGATGAAATTTGGCACGCACGTTTTATTTGACCCAAGGACGAAGCCTATTGAAAATGGTTAAAATCGGTCCATTATTTCACCTAGCCCCCATAGAACAGAACCGCCCGAAAAGGGCTTCTGAGCTCATAATTATGTTAAATATACAGATATATCGACAAAATACGGCACAACTAAGTTTTATAGAAGTCTTGATAACCCTGCCAAATTTCATAAAGATCGGGCCCCATTTGACCCTAGCTCCCATACAAAGTCCCCTTTAGAAAATTACTTGAATGTCCCAAATTAACTTATAAACACAAATATCGCGATGAAATTCAGCGATATTTGTGTTCACAAAATTTTATCGGGCTTGGTCCATATTTGCCCCTAGCCCCCATATAAAGCCTCTTTCAGAAAATTAGTTTTTCATCCATAAATTGCTTAAATGTATCGGAACAAGGGAATATTGAAGATAAATGAGATATTATGAAAAATAAATCACATTTAATATTCATAACTGGTGTAGGGTATCATATGGTCGGCCACGCCCGACTATACTTTCTTACTTGTTTTTCTTTAATTTCTCTTTTGATTCATTTTCGTATATTTTAATTTATTATAAACATTTGATATTTATTTGTTATTCGTAAACAATACATTATTAGAAGTGGAATTTTTACATACAATATTAAGAATATATTAAAATAATAACATTTCGATTGTAGTACAAATAGTCTGGACTTCTATGGCCTCAGGTAAGCACAATTTTTATATTTCTGCACATTTTGTTAATTTGTAGTAAAAATATTTTGCAAATGCAATGATGCAAGACCATTTACACAAGATTGTGAATAGAGCTAATAAATTTTAATCCCCAAGTAAAAGAATGTTTATGTTCCAACTGGTTTCCGAATTGGCATAGAATGAATTATAAAAAGGTTTATATATGTATGTACATATATAGTCTATACTTTAAACTAACAGAATCGAGGAATATCTTAGATTTTTTACTTAGAAAATCAGGGGCTAGATGTTTAAAACCATTGTCATGATTATGCCCTAAACCGGCATATGGTATTATGCATTTGTGCTGATTTTTGTAACGCACAAGAATATTAGTTACCGATTGGCACAGAAACACATTCTGTGTTGATTAAGACATCTCCGTCCATGTAAAACTTGTGCGCAAGGTATAGGTGTCGATTTCTGAAGAGCTACTAGTATATTTGCCGCAGTTATGAGCTAAAAAGCCAAAATCTTAAGGTCCATTGGTATGGGCTCTAGGTTATATAAAGGACAGATTTCAACCACTTCGGCTTTATTATTATCATTGCTTCCAAGTACATACTATGAATTTTACTTTAGTCTATTACTTTCGAAAAATAAAAGATATGTATCAGGAAGCAATACTAATTACATCATGGTATGTACATATGTATATATGTATGTATGTTCTTGATATTTGAATTAATTTACTGTAAACGATTTTTATCAAAAAAGCGTTATTTTATAACGTTCAATACCTATTTCTACATATTTTTTTAGAAATTTTTCTACATACAATTTTTTAGAAATCGCTTGCAAGAAGTTTTTTAATTTAGACTCCCATCTAAAGGAAATTTAAACGATTCGGTTAATTGTTTGATAATATTTGAGAATGTTAAAAGTTGTGATTGACATGGCAGTTCCATAGTGTATAATAATATATTACAAGTATAAAATATCACCTAAACGCTTGTTTATGTCACCTGATACATATTCTCTCGTATTTATTTTATATAGTTAAAATACGACATCGTGAATTATTTGTGTACATTATAAGAAATTAGAAATGAGTGGTGATATCAAAGATGAAAAGGTATGTACGATTATTAATTTTACATTAAATGTATAACATAAACATTATTTAATATTGCAGAAAGTTTCTAAGCGCAAAAAGCGAACCTCAAATAAGAGATGGCTGCAAAGTGATGAGGCTGCTATAATAAGTTTTATTAAACAAAATCCAGACTTTGAGGTAAATCACCAATTTTTCACCAACAAATATTAAAAACACCAATTTCTTTAACTTAACATATATTTAAAATGTTTTAAAAATATCTTTTAGAAACCAACTGCTCAAGTTTACTATAATAAATTTCTTTTTGAAAGTGAAATTGATACTGATTGGGATCGTGTACGCCACAAAATGCGTCATATGCGTAGAATTTATCGAAAAGCTAAAGAATATGGAATAAAGAAAGCAGCATCGAATGACTTATATAAAGATTACGAAAGTGTAAGAAGTATGTATAAATAAATAAATAAATAAATAAATAAAAAAGAAAAGCTAATAAGTTTATTGAATATTTAAACAATTATAGAAGAAATGTTAAGAATCTGTTGGTACTTAGACGACTTCGATATAATATTCCCCCATGAAATGGAGACTCACAGCGATGGCATGTACTTAAACGCCTTTGCCCCTAGTTGTGATGAAGTTTCCAACGAGGCATCATTTTCCAATATTAAAAACACAAGTACAGATTCTAACGAAAAATATTTATTGGATGAACCTGCAATGAGTTTATCATCTAGCAGTATTAAAAAAGATATACTAGCCGTACAGACAGGAATGTTCAATTTTAAGCGACAACAGCACGGTGAAACCACAACTATAAAACAGCAGGAACTTGAATTGCTTAGAGAGCAAATTAAACTTGATAGAGAAAAATTTAATTTTGATAAAGAGAAATTTTGCTTTGAAAAAGAGAAATTTCGCGAAGAATTAAAAATTAAAGATAAAGAAATCGAAAGTCAAGAAAAGTTGAAGATAATGGAGATACAAATGAAGGAGAGAGTTGCCCTAAAGGAGTTAGAACTTAAGGAAAGAATAGCTTTTAAATCGGTGGAAAAACACGAAAATTATACAAATTTATATAATGATATTACATAATTATAAACAATATCATATTTGTATGTTTTGCCATTTGTAATAGAATTCCATTTAGTCTAAAAATTATATAATAAAGTCTATTTGGTAATTTAAATACCAAAAGAATAGGATATTTAAGTATTTATTTAGCTAGGAATTTTAATTAAGTTTCTATGTATATATGTATATTGGTGACATTGCTTTATTGATTTACGTTATATGACTATTTTGGTTGATTATTTATATTTACCCTTCTATTTTCGCCTTTTCTCATTTGTTTATCTCTTCTTATTGATTAGGTGCATAGAATATCATAAATCTTATATAAATTTCATTAAAAAAAACACCAAAACATGAGTGCATCCAAACGTAGGAGTAAGGTATGACATTAATTTATTTTTAACATGAAACGTTGATAATAATAAAATTTTATCTTTAAATCTTAGCTAATGCCATTGCGCTACAGGACTAAACCTATAAAGAAATGGACTCTAAGCGAAGAAATTACTCTTATCAATTACCTTAAAAATAACCGTAATTTTGAGGTAATTAAAGAAATCAGCATAACGTATTTGGGTTATCATTGTAATATTCGTCAAATCGGGAAGAAACTGTATTTTATTGTAGTAATTTTTTGCGATAAACAAAAATGCTTTTTTTTATTTCAGAAACCAGTTGCCAGAGTTTACTATAACAAATTTCTTGAAGAAAATAATATTGATGATAAAAGTATTGATTTCAAGGTTGTAAGGTCAAAAGTACGTAATATGCGGGTAAGATATCGCACAGCCAAAGAATGTGAAATCAAAAAATCAGCATGTAATGATTCCGAATTTAATGCTGAAGATATTCGAAGTAAGTATATCGCATAATTAATCAATTTTATTTGTAAAAACCTAGTTTTTTTTCAAATCATAAATAATGTAAATTAATTAATTAAGAATTCGATTAATTTTGAAATTTTAATTTTCAGAGGAAATGTTAAAAATCTGTTGGTATATAGATGATTTCGATGATATTTTCCCCAATGAAATGGATGGTTATATTTACAAAAAACCCCAAGCAGATATATTTTTCAATCAAGAATCTTCATCCAACATCAATAATTCTACACAATTTTTAAATGAAGATACTTGCTCTGACCAAGAACCGCCATTTAAATTTAATACTTCAAAACCTATTTCAACTGAAAATTTGTTTCGAGAAGACGACCTAACATCAAGTTCATCCTCTAACAGTATTAATGGAGATGTAATAACAAAGCAGGAGGATATATTTAATTTTAAAACACAACATCATAAGGACACAAGTATAAGGCAACAGGAAATTGAACTGTTAAAAGAGAAATTGAGTTTTGAAAAGGAAAAGTTTCGCCAAGAATTTACATTAAAAGAAAAAGAACTCGAAAGCCAAGAGAGACTAAAAATAATGGAATTGCAAATGAAAGAGAGATTAGCAATGAAAGAATTGGAACTAAAAGAAAGACTAGCACTGAAATCAATGGAAAAACGAGAAACATCCTCATTAAACAATGTATATCATAATTTGGTCTAAATATTGTTAAAAATGAAATTTACTATAATTTAAAATTAACAAAATATTTAAATGCTTTATTTATTTTTGTTAATAAAATTCATAAAACAAATTTGGTTTTATTATTTGTTATTCTAATTAAAGCCAATAATTAGTTGTTAAAAATCTTGTAGTTAATGTCAATATAATTTTGTCTAATTTACAAAACATTTAACTAAATACAAAGAAAGCCTTCCTCGTTCAAACTTTTCACTACATAGACAGACTTAAACTATATTAAAGTTGTATTTTATAATCCAACAATATGTATATTAATAATTATTGTATGTATATCTTCAGGTACAACAACCAGATTTATTTAAATTTGTTCATGGGAAGAACCTAAAATGAGTGAAAGAAATGTTTGTATTTTGATTGGTTTTCTTATGAAATGAAATATTTAAATAAATTAATATATAATTACAGCTAAAGGCAGTTCGCAACAGATTAAAACCTTTAAAAAAATGGAGTCGAAGTGAAGAGATCTCCTTAATCAACTATATAAAAGAAAATCCTGATTTTGAGGTAACTTTTCAATTTAATAATTCAATTTATTCCTGCTCTTCTGCAATTCAAAAGTATATTATGATTTTTTCAGAAACCAACTGGAAGAATTTATTACACCAAATTTTTATCAACTACGGATATAGGTATTGATTGGGAACTCGTACGTAGTAAAGTACGTAATATGCGTGTGGCATATCGCAAAGCTAAAGAATATGAAATTAATAAAAATTATTTCAAAAGTTCCGGTAGCAATACTGTGAGAAGTAAGTAATACTCATATAGAAATCGACGTGTTCTGATACCCACCGAAAATGAAATGATCTTTATTTGGTGAAAGGATAAAAGATCCTAAATTTTCATTTCTGACTGCAACTTCTATAAAGGGCCTACATAAATCTTTTATTTTCAGATAAAGTATTAAAAAAGTGTTGGTTTGTGGATTATTTCGACGTTCTTTTTCCCAATGAATTGGATAATTATATTAATAAAAAGCCAGATAATCCCATGACTGATAAAAGTTTTTCAAGTGAAGAAGGTGAAGAAGAAGAAGAACTATCATCAAATTCTTCATCTTCAAACAGCATAGATAGACCAATATTAAGAGTGCAAAAGGAGATGTATAGTTTGAAACGAAAAAAACGTAAAACACACACTAGCCTAAAGGAACAAGAACTTGAGCTGGCCCGGGAAAAATTAGCTTTTGACAAAGAAAAATTTCGTCAAGAACTTAGAATGAAAGAAATGGAGATTGCAAGTCAAGAAAAAATTATGTTAATGGAATTACAAATAGAAGAGAGAATAGCTTTGAAAGAATTGGAACTTAAAGAGAAATTAGCATTAGATTCAATGGAAAATGAAGGATCTTCTTATAATAATGAATATCATAATTTGACACAATACTCTAGGATCTAGGTACGTTTTTAGAGGGATAAACTAGATTTTTTAGGTTTATTTTTTAATTCAATCATTTTTTATTTATTTAATTATAATTAAATTAAAAATTGTGCGGATGGAATTTAAAATGCAATAGGAAAATTGTTTTGTTTAAACTTTCAAAAATGTTTTTTTTTTTTTTCAAATCGTTCACATTTTTTAAAATGTTTCTTAATATGGATTTATTGTTTTATCTGTAAAAGTAATTTAATATTTTTTATATATAATGAAATCTTTAATAAAATAAAGTAATAAAGTAATAATAAAAAAATGCATTAAAAATACTCCTGAGATATGAAAATATATAAAATATATTTAACTTGGCAACTCTTGAAGAGAAAAATACAACTATGTTTGTTTTGTTTTTCTTCAATTTTCCTTTTTCAGTTCATTTTTGCTCATTCATTTCGATAGACGTGCGTAATTTTGCATTCGTAATTTGTCTAGTGATTTATAAACAAAACGCATAAAAATATAATTAAAAATAACAAAATTTTATTTAGAAATTAAAAAAATAACTTAAATTAAAGATATGTCAAACGGACTCGCAGGATTTAAACGATTTCTGCACTGGGGTCCCATAACAGCATTAAGTAAGTAGAAATCCCATAAGAATCTCACTAAAGAAAATTTTTCCAAAAAAAATATTCATATTTGTTCCAATTTGAAGGTATAAAATTAAAGTTGAATTATTAAAAACACTACCATTCTATTTCTAATTATATTTTGTCTGCTTCTACTACATAAACTCTAAATTTAATTCCAACAATTATAATTTGATTTCTTGTGGTTGGTAGGTATTAACAAAATAGTTTAATTTGTTGGTGGTATTGTTATGCCACAACTCCCACTACATTTCCGTTGCAAACATTTATTCCGGATATTAACATTCCTGCGTAAATGTCACTTGTAGCACCAACGTCGTAATTATTTAAATATTGTGTTTTGACCGCTGGTGTTTGAGTGAATGTGTAAATTTGTTTATAATAAATACAAGTAATTTGGATTTGTTAATTGCAATTCAAGGTGTAATTAGTCAACAGTCTATCAATGATTTATGGGATAACATCTAAACAAAGAAGTGTTTATAATTTAGACCATTGTGGTAGGAAGGATGTGACGTGTTGTTATTTATGAAGTAAAAAAGTGTTGGTCCTACGCCCACATGTCATATACAACTATGCTATTTAACTTGTTTTTGATTGGGGAAGATACATATGTAGATATTGTTTATCAGTTGGCGGTTATATTTCTTCAACCTACAAAATAGTTTTACTATTATTCAATTAAATAATGAATTAAACAAAATTCTCTTGATGATATTTTTAAATACTATTTACTCTGGATTTGTATTGAATATAAAAACATCTTTATCTAGAAAAGTATTGGAACACTGGTTCCTTCCTGCCACAACAACAATATTGTTTATGTAAAATTTACTTAATTTTTGGAGAAAATTTTGGTTTTACTATCATGTGGATACTGTTCTTTATAATTTCATGGAAAGACATTCAGTTATTAAGTTTACATTTCCACAATTATATGTTGTAGGACACACATACTGTCTATAATAAAATCAATAAATGACTAATACCTAGGTTTTATTACTAATTTAAAAAAACTTGGAAGTCCCGTAACTCCCTTACAAGAACAGTGGCACAGTTGTCCGGCCAATTTTACAAACACTATTGATGAAAATATCTATCAAGTTCTTAAAGGCAAAAAAGCAAATTTATAAAAAAAAATTTTTTTGGAACCATTAGAAGTGCTAACAACTCAAAATATGTATATGTACAATATGTATAAGTTGGTTAAGGAACTATTTTTATACTCAAAATGGAATCTGTGCTTAAAGTATAGTATTGTTTTTATCCAAAAATAGGCTTGCGGCCTCATTTTTTGGTTAAATAAAGAAATAAATAAAAACTGCGAGCAATACTACTTCTAGGAGAAATACAGTGGTATAGCGGTATTAAATACATATGTACATAAGAAACATTTAGGTATGTAAAAACTTTTAAATTGTTTGTGTAGAGTTGTTTTAAATTGTAGTTATTTATTGTATTGATCTGCACACACACATATCATTTTAAAGTGGATGATATATACAACAATAATGGAAGGGTAAACTGATAACATTAGACCAGCTGTTTTACATTTTTTCTATTGTATTATACAAAATAGTACAAACAATTTCGAGAAAATAATTCTTTGCATTTTATAATTATTTACGCATGAATTTAATTCAATTCATGTTATAACTAAATTAATAATTCAATTTAATTTGTATAATAAATATTAAAATCAAAACAACATTATCGTTTGTATAAAATTAAACAACAATACGACCTACAACTACAGTGGTGAATTGCATTTTGTTGTGCCGCATTGATATGTATGTATGTTTGTTTAAATGTCTTTCCTGGTCAAATATAAATAAATAACATTGTTTAGAATCATTAAAACAAAAAATCGTTTTTGTCATTACTTTTTTAAACAATGAGTGAAATAAATACACAAGGAAAGGTATGTACACATTTTGATATTGCTTTTAAAAGTTAGTAAAGTGTTTTTTTATATTTCAGAAAAACAAAGGACGCAATAAACCGACAATTACAAAAAAATGGGATCATAATGATGAAGCTGCTATAATCAATTTCCTAAAACAAAACCGTGAATTTGAGGTAATTTTAAAAATAAATATCTTGTGCGTAAATTAGTGGCCTTATTTATAAAGAAAACGAGCTGCTTACTAACTTACTGAAATTTTGTTTGTGTGTAAATTTCCAGTAGTTCGAGGACTGTTCCGAACTAGCTATTTTAAATAACATTTAATGTTACCTCTCTCTTGCCACCGCACTACCCAAGTGACTATCTATTTTAACACGTGCTTCTCATAAAGTCAATCGACTTTGATGAACTGCTGTGTATTCATAAGAGAAAACGTAGCTGCTCGTTTTCAATATAAATAAGGCACTAAATGCCAAAATGAGGACCCCAACTATATTCTAATTGAATGTAATGTATGGAACCATACTTACATTCTAAATTGAAATGTTTATATCAAATCTGTATTTTTTTTTAAATTGGTATTTTTCATTTCCCTTACTGAAATAAAATTCAATATTCATACAAATAAAAAAGGTCCAAAATTGAGTGATGTATTTCGAAATCGTTTGGATTCTAAAAAGAAAAATCCTAATTTTCGGTTGAAAACTAAAAGAATAATGAGTTAATATTTATACTTTAACTTGGGTCACATTTTGTACATAAAGTAAAATAATTTAAATATCTTCTACTACATTTTAGAAACCAACACAACGAAAGTATTATACAAAGTTTATAATAGAAAATGGATTGGATGATATTTATTGGAAACTTGTATATTATAAAGTACGTAATATGCGAACAGTTTATCGCAGAGCTAAAGAATACCAAAAACAAAGAGGAGATGTCAATGAAATGGATGCTGAGGCTGTAAAAAGTAAGTTAACTGATGAAATTTAAAATTTGTTTAATTAAATTCATATATTATAGATGTAATGTTCAAAATTTGTTGGTATGTGGAGGATTTTGATGTTCTATTCCCTAATGAAATGTCGGAAAATAAACGAATAGATGTACAAGTAACTAATTCTGATAAAGAGGATGAAACTTCAAACCAGGAACTTTTTTCCAATACAACAAATCATATTAATAATAATGCAACTACTAGTTTCAATGAAGAAATTCTGCATGAAGAACCTATGTTGAGTTATTTACCCAAGAGTATTAGAAAAGACATATTGGCTGTACAAACGGGTAAATTTAATTTTAAACGACGGAAATTTGATAAAGAAAGCATAATAAAACAAAAACAACTTGAACTGGCAAGAACTAAATTTGAATTTAAAGCAGAGAAATTTCGCTTAGAAATGAAATTGAAAGAAAAACAAATCGAAAGCCAAGAAAAATTAAAGTTAATGGAGCTACAAATAAAAGAGAGAATAGCCATGAAAGAATTGGCACTTAAGGAAAAACTGGCACTAAAATCAATTAAAACTGCTGATGTTGAAACTTCCTTTAGTAATATATTTTAATAATAAAATAATTTCTTTTCTTTGTACATTATTTAAAATAAATGTTAAAAAAAACTACAATTTAAACTTAATGATGTATTTCTTTCTATAAAATATTAAGATTATGTCATCACCTTGCATAGCTAACTAATTTAAACATTTATAAAGAAATCATTTCAATTTAAACTAAATTGCATTCATGTGTAGCTATTGTTTGGCTTTACGACATTATTTTATTACTGTATTTAAGGTGAATGGATCTATAAAACACCCCCACTAATTACACACTGTACTTATTGTTTCATTTATTTTTATTATTTAGGTATTATAAAATGCATTACATTGACTACTTTATACATGAACTCTATGTGGTGGCCGCCTAATAAATCTTTTGGGGGTTTCCTTAATCAAGCCATATTTTTGATGCTTTCTTCGGTGGCCACATTTAACTACATAATGGCGACATTGACAGGTCCTGGCATATTGCCAAAAAACTGGAAACCACAGGTGAGTAAAAAATATAAAATACATTTTTTTATTTTAACACATAAAACATTGACCTTCCTAGAATGTTTTCATACTACATAGTGTTGATTGTAGTGTAGATTGTTGTTTGTAATAATTATACATTTATTAGCAATTAGTTAAAGTTTCATTCAATTTTTATTGCACTCTATATTCGAAGTGTGTAATTAGCAGTCATCTAAGCTAGTTAATTACTTCCTTAATAAAGGATATCTGTTTATATGTACATTTGTAAGTAGTTAACCGCAACAAAAACAAACTCACGTTCTATGGTTTATACATTTCCTTATTAACACGGATTTGCGTGTTTAAATTTACTGTAAATAAATGGTTTGTATTTAATATTACGATATGCATTAATTTACACAACCACAAACATTAAAACTAAATAACTGTACGTACCCATTGTTAAATAGAAGTAATAAATCATATTTTAAATTATTATTATTATTTTTTAAATCGAAAGGAACTGCAAAGTAATTGGAAGATATAATCTAGGAATAAATTGTATAGAAAATATGTAGTCATATTATCCATGAATGCGTTTTGTTTTCTTGTAAGTTTGTTTAATATGTATTCCATTTTGGAATAATTAAAAGATCAGTGTATAGTTTCTTTGATCTACGAAAATGAGCACACCAATAGTATATATGGAATTCACAAAATAAAACTATTTTGCTACTTTCCCATTGATGGAATTGTTTCTTTTTTAATAATATTTCAAATTTGCCTATTTCGTTTTAATTCACTTTTTTTCCGTGGTTTTCTCATATCTGATATTTTTTAAATGTTCTTTCATCATAGAAAACAAAATAAATTTTTTAGGGGCCAATCTATTGTGCATGCAACCAATATACCAGTTACAACTTATTTAACAAATATTTTCTTGCTGCAACTTTGTAGAATGTACATTTGTACATACATATATGTACATATATTTAGATTACTTGGTAAACACTTTGTGAAAAATATTGTAAATCATTCATGAAAAATTTTGTATGCATAATAAATTATACACATTTAACACGCAATTTTGAGGGCTATTAGTTAAATATTTGCATACATAAAATGTCACAATCTACTGGGAATATAAACAAAAAGAAAACCGTCCATTTCTTGTTATTAAATTACCGACATTATTATAACAATTTGTATAATTTATTTTCCTTCTTAAGGAGCCAAAAGCTGTTGAGCAGTTACAATATTGTAAAGTATGTGAAGGTTATAAAGCACCCAGATCTCATCATTGTCGTAAATGTAAGTCGAGTATAAAAATAGAGTAATTTCAGTAATTGTATGTTTAAAATGTTTATATCCTTCCGATTTGCAGGTAATCGTTGCATTAAGAAAATGGATCATCATTGTCCTTGGATTAATCATTGTGTTGGTTGGGCCAATCATGCCTATTTCACCTACTTTTTAGCATTTTCCATTATTGGTAGTTTGCATGGTGCTGTCATTCTGTGCATTACCTTTTACAGAGGCATTCATCGTTATTGGTATTTGTCACGAGGTCTTGTTCACTTAGCCACCGTGCAATTTTCCATGTATAGCATTATTTTATGTATTTTCTCTATGGGTTTGGCAATTGGTGTGGTGATAGCATTGGGAATGCTTTTATATTTTCAGGTAGGAGGGAAAAACTTTTTAGAATAATTAAAAAAAAATAATTATAATGATTAATATTTATGCTGCACAGCTTAAATCGATTGTTAAAAATCAAACTGGCATTGAGATGTGGATTGTTGAAAAGGCCATGTACAGACGCATGCATAATCCGGATTTAGATGATTTTGTGTATCCCTACGATTTGGGCTGGTGGTCAAATATTAAACAAGTTTTTGTAAATGACAATGTAACCAAAGGAGCCGGTATTGAATGGCCAGTTAAAGAAGGATGTCATCAATATACTTTGACTGTAAGTTTTAAATATTAACAAGAAGGTTTAAAAAACAAAAATTTAATTATTTGTACTTCACTAGTGTGAACAAATCGCCCAAAAATGTGAAAAACGTGCCCGTACACGCACCTATAAATGCATACGCAAAGCTACTGGAAGCTATTTACCACTATTCTCTCAAGGTTTTCGTGTTTGTTTATCTCCACCTTGCACTGATGAGCCCCGTTTACGTTTGGAACCCGATGACATTATTAAAGTAACACGCTTTCGACAACACTGGTTGTTTGGCGAACGTGTTGTGGACGATAGGAAGGAAAAGGACATTAAAAAACCGTTACGTGGTTGGTTTCCCAGACGTTGTGCTGTCGAACTGATACAACCGGAACAACCCTGTTCGAGCGGTGAAGATTGTGAGGTTAACGAAACCAATTATCGACACCAACCGACTCCAAAGAAGGCGACACTTAATAACGGGGCCAGTTGTGCAAAATCACAAAATGGTCACCATCGTAAGAAAAATAACTGATATAAAAAGACTTTACTATTGTATGATTAGCGAGTAAATAATTCTGGATTAAAGAAAAACTAAAAATACACACTGTTGTGTGTAAAATATTTATACACATTCATGTAAACAAACTTATATATTGTAATTTAAAAAAAAAATAAATAATTTATTGGAAAGTTTTTAAATGTTTTATGTGTGTGTTAATTAGTTCTTGTTGAAAATATCGGAAATTGTAGTTTATATTAAACCGGAAGTATTACTCCTTAAAGTATGCTTTCCGTTTTGTAGTCTTGAAATAGCGCCATCTATTGAAAGGTATAATGATTTCTTAGAAACTGGAAAATAGATTTCCTTAGTCTGGCAATATCTCTGTTAAAATATGACCACTTTTCCAGTGCTACCAGATCAAATATGTTTCCCTTGTATTAGGGTTCTATAAATCGACTTTCGAATAATCGAACAATCGACTTTTTGTCGAAAAAAGTCGAAAAGTCGAAGTCGACTATTTTGTTCCAAATAAGTCGATAACTCGACTATCGTCTATGAAAAAAGTCGAAAAGTCGACTTTGTAAATAAAAGTCGAAAAAAGTCGAAAAGTCGGAAAGTCAAAAAGTCGAAAAAAGTCGAAAAGTCGAAAAGTCGGAAAAAGTCGAAAAGTCGGAAAAAGTCGAAAAGTCGGAAAAAGTCGAAAAGTCGAAAATAGTCGAAAATTTTAAAAAAGTGGAAAAGAGGTCAAAAACTCTAAAATAGTCGGAAAAACTCGAAAAAAGTAAAAAATAGTCGAAAAAAGTCGAAAATAAGTCGAAAATAGTCAAAAAGTCGTAAAAAATCGAAAAGTCGAAAAGTCGGAAAAAGTCGAAAAGTTGAAAAAAGTCGGAAAAAGTCGAAAAAAGTCGAAAAGTCGAAAAAAGTCGAAAAGTCGAAAAAAGTCGGAAAAAGTCGAAAAGTCGAAAAAAGTCGAAAAAAGTCGAAAAGTCGACCATTTATAAAATACTAAAAGTCGAAAAGTCTAAAAGTCGACTTTTAAATAAATGAAAAAGGTCGAAAAGTCGAAAAATCGACTTTTCATAAAATGGAAAAAGTCGAAAGGTCGAAAAGTCGACTTTTAACTAAATGCAAAAAGTCGAAAAGTCGAAAAGTCGACTTTTCGTTTCAACTATAGAACCCTACCTTGTATGTTTTGTTATAAAACATATTTATTTTTTTACAACGTAAGAAATGTTGAATTCCAAAAGTTGAAAATTTGTTATTTTACTTACAAATAAAGACTTCTAACTACTTAAACTTACTTTTAAAAACAGGATCTGGCAACATTGTTAAGACCAAAGCTTTTTAAAGCAGAATGTTGCCACAGTTAAGCAATTATTTTTGCACGTTTCAAACAAGTGTAATCACACTAGATGGCGCTATTTTTATAATTTTATAAAAACAAAGCATGCCTAAAGGCTTTACTTTTAACCACATACACTTAGAGAAAAGCTGTTAAACTATTTACTTACCTCGTTCTCAATTAAAATGAAAAATAGTTATTTACTACATTATTTCATATTTATTGACTGTTTTCAATAAAATATAATAAAACTATAAAAATAAAAAAAAAACAATACCAATAAATTCGTTTCAAATTTTTTACAAATACATTTTAATAAATTATGTAGCTTTGTTTATTGGCTGGTAATTCATATAGACGTTTAGAAACAATTGTTGCAATTTTAATTTCCAGCAAATTTTCTAACAAAACTTGTATAAATTAAAAGTACATAAAAACAAATTTAATTATTTAAAACACTTAAAATGTAAATGAATACATTTATACATAAAATATAAATAAAATATATAATTAAAACTGAATAAAACATACACAGACATCGTTTAAACAATAATAATAATAAAAATAATAAAAAAATAGCACAATTATTTGCATTTAAAATTACGTTTATAGTTGCGAAAAAAAGGACAGTTTTTAATAATGAATGTCGGTCATGCAAAAGTACAAAATACAAATGTAATTTGTTTTTAAACATTATAATTAGGTAAAACATACAATTTGTGAAGAAATAAATTAAAAAAAAAATCATATTACTTCATTTTATTTGTATTTTTTGTTTTTTTTTTCCAAAGAATTAATCCAAAAGTTTTCATTTTATATTTGGCATAACGCTTACTTAATAGAGAGAAATTGAGAGAAGCTAATAGTAATTATATTAATATTATTTTTGTTGTTTGCTTGAAAAATTTATATGGTTGTTTAAAATCGATTATTATTTTAATAATAATGTATATTAAAATTGTATCAAGTTAGTTTACTAATTGATTTCGATGACGCATTTTAAGAAGGCTTTCATTTAAATGATTTTCTTTTTAAGTTTTTATTTTTTTATTTGTTCTCTTTCCTTTTGCTGGTCTAGTTGGCCCATTGTTACTTCTTACATCATTGCTTAATAAAATATTTTAGTAAATAGTTTGGAATTTAGTTGAATAATTTAAAAATTTCCATCAAAATTTCTATGGCGAGTATTTTCAAAAATATATTAGGATTTCAAATCTGAAAATGTAAATATGATAGAAATATTATTTTGGAAAAACTATAAAAAGATTTAAAATTGTTACTCACATTTGATTCTTCATTATCATTTGATTGTCCACGAGTTGAACTCAATTGTAATTTGCTCGTTGAAGCAGCTGCTTTATCTCCAACTCTTAATAGATCGGAGTTGCCAGCCAAATCGTGATTAGATGCTGATGGTCGCAAAGCGGCTCGTTTGGCTACAATTTCTAACATTTCATTTAAAATCGCTCCTTCGGCTGCAACATCTGCAGAACTTTTATCTAGTTCTGAAATTAGAATTAATTAAAAGTAATTTTTAGAGTTTTCGATACTTTGTTGAAAATTTAATAAATTGCATTCTTGAGAATCTTCATTATTAAGAGATGAGACTGAGATGAATACTTACTGCTACAGGATAAACGCAAATTAAGTTCTTCTTTAAGCTGAGCATGTCGATGTTCTAATTGTAGTTCTTGTTGTCGAATTCCAAGCTCTTCATCTCGTTTTCTAGAAAAATATATTAAACAATATCCAATAAAATACATAAATTATAACCACGTAAACATTTTATTAACACTTACTTAAGTTGTGTTATATTACGCCATATTTCTAAAAGTTCTTTTAAGAGTTTCTCATCACTACTGCCCACATTAGTAGTAGAATCCGGACTGAAAAATTCCAGATAATATACAAATAAATTTAAAAACATTGTTTTTTAAATTAAGTCCTTACTTTTCATAATTTTGTTCTTCACCACGTAAAGCCTTTTCAATGAGTACCCCACGTGTTTCCAATTCTTTTAATTGCACTTCAATTTCTTCTTGTTCACGCTGGATTTCCTGAGCGATTCTTAATCGCTTAAGTTCAGCTTGGCGAACAGCTTTCGATATTGCACGCTGTTTCTTTTGATCGCGAGTCTCGGTAGCGTAACTCTCGTCTAAGGGAAATTTGTAATAAATATAAACATTTTAATAACTTTATAACAAACAAAACGAAAGAAATCAATAAGTCAAAGGTGCAAAAAAAAAAAAAAGAATTGTTTGTATTGGTTAAAAACAAATGAAAAAATTACTATAAAAGAGAAAACAAACCATCAGATCTTTGATAATTCAGTGGTAAAGGCGGTATGGGAGGCGGTGTCTGATCGTCATAAGCGGCTGCTGCGGCGGCGGTATTTGTATTTGTCATTGATTGTGATTTATTCACACACAATTGCGGACTAGATGATGAAAACGCCAGGGCTGATGAAGATGATGATTTCTTGGTAGGAGTGTGTGAAAAGTTTTGATTGTGATGTGCTATTGCTGATGACTGTTGTTGCGGTTGATGTTTGTATTGCTGCTGTTGGTCGTAATGACGATGTCGACTGTTGCTGTTGTTCAAATTATTTATTTGTGAATGACTGTAGGGTGTATGCGTTAATTGTGTTCTAATGGGAAAATCAGGATTATTTTGACACTCATATGTCATGGCCATGGAAGCTGACGAGGTTCTCAAACGTCTTGTTGGACTGCTACCAGTATAATTGACCATATTGTATAAATAATCCTCCTTATCCTGAGTTTGTTTATAAATGTTTTTTGTTTTTTTTTGTTTGTTATTTGTATTTGGTTTAAAAAAAGTAAAATAATTTTGATTTGTATTATATTGAGCGTTTGGTATTAAAGATTTAAGAAAGAATATCAATTAAGAGAATGTAGTCAATGTATGGTTGGTTTGGTGTTTTTTTGGTTTAAATAATAAGTTTGGTTTTTGGAAATAATTTTTGTTTTTTTTTTTTTTTTTTTTTGCCGAGCCAAGGAAGCAGCATGTTTTAAAATGGAAATAAATTTAAGAAAACAAATCGATTATAAAAACTTTTTACTTCGCTTTACTCATTCTCAAAATTATTAAAGTATTAACATGCTTTTTTGGAAATTTAGTTTTAAAAAAGAGTGTAGAAAAAGTATACTTTGGTGGGGAATTGAAAGCTGTGAAGGAATAAAAGGTAACAAGGATTTCCAAAGATCACCAGAACAAATCTAATGATTCAACACACTATACCTACAGAAATATTAAAACCAAAACCAAAACAAAACATAAAATCTAAAAGTTATTATAAAATTGAGTGCAAATAAGAAAAATACCTAAAATAAAGAATTTAATTTTAAGAATAATTTAGAAAAATACCACTGGACTTGATAGGTGCTTTCAATATCAAATTAATACAAATGTATTGCCAAACATTTTTATTAAATTACTTAAAAAATTTGCACTCAACTATTAAAAAAAAGAAAACAAAAATAAAAATATACTGTATGCCTTAAAACAATATTAAAAAAAATTACAATTTATTTATCCGTAAAAAAGAAACTAAAAATAATAATTATAATAACAATTACAAAGAGCATCATAATAATAAATAATAAAATGGCATCATTGTGATTTTTTATAAAAAAATATTTTGATTAATAAAAAAATCATAAAAGACGACTGGATTTCATCATAAGACTGATTGACGGACATAATTTCATAATTTCTCATAAAATTAAATTAAATAAAATTAATCGTTCTGCAAAAAAGTCAAAAAGGGAAAAAAG